TCCCATATCTATATCCCATATCTATGTCCCATATCTATATCCCATATCTATATCCCATATCTGTGTCCCATATCTATATCTATGTCCCATATCTATGTCCCATATCTATATCCCATATCTATATCTATGTCCCATATCTATATCTATGTCCCATATATTGTCCCATATCTATGTCCCATATCTATATCTATGTCCCATATCTATATCTATATCCCATATCTATATCTATGTCCCATATCTGTGTCCCATATCTGTGTCCCATATCTATGTCCCATATCTGTGTCCCATATCTATATCTTTATCCCATATCTATATCTATATCTATATCTATATCTATATCTATATCTATCTACATCATAGGATGTAGGATATATATGTATGTATATGTATGTATATATCTATATAAAATAGAACCTTTTTTGTAACCCCCTAACCCCCTTTTTTTGTATGTACGCGCATAACTCAAAAAGTACCCAACGGAAACAGTTTTACAGTACAGATACAGCACAGTTTTCAATAGGTCTAGATTCAGGGAAGGTTAATACAATTATACAATTTATTCGTATAACTAATTAATAAATAATTAAGTTATATAATAAGTTTATTAAATAAAATTAAAAAATTAAAAAATTATTTGTTCCATACATCCGAATATACTTAAATAGCATAAAATTATCGCTCGTGCACAGATTTCTCTTGCGCAATGGCACTTTTGAAAGATTTCAAAGACAGCGACTCGAGTTCAAACCACGATATCAGACACTTTTTTTTTTGCATTTTTTTCCCACTTTTCACTCAACTTATCTTAGTTTTGTGCTTATATTACTTATATTACTTTTATAAAAACGTTTTTATAAAAATAAATAAAAAAAATATATATATATTAAAAATAAATATATAAAATACAAAATAATATATCTATATCTATATCCCATATCTATATCCCATATCTATGTCCCATATCTGTGTCCCATATCTATATCTATGTCCCATATCTTGTCCCATATCTATGTCCCATATCTATATCTATGTCCCATATCTTGTCCCATATCTATGTCCCATATCTGTGTCCCATATCTATATCTGTGTCCCATATCTATATCTATGTCCCATATCTATGTCCCATATCTATATCTATGTCCCATATCTGTGTCCCATATCTATATCCCATATCTATATCCCATATCTATATCCCAAATCTATATCTATGTCCCATATCTATATCCCATATCTATATCTATGTCCCATATCTATGTCCCATATCCGTGTCCCATATCTGTGTCCCATATCTATATCTATGTCCCATATCTATGTCTCATATCTATATCTATATCTATGTCCCATATCTTGTCCCATATCTGTGTCCCATATCTGTGTCCCATATCTATGTCCCATATCTGTGTCCCATATCTATATCTATATCCCATATCTATATCTATATCTATATCTATATCTATCTACATCATAGGATGTAGGATATATATGTATGTATATGTATGTATATATCTATATAAAATAGAACCTTTTTTGTAACCCCCTAACCCCCTTTTTTTGTATGTACGCGCATAACTCAAAAAGTACCCAACGGATACAGTTTTACAGTACAGATACAGTACAGTCTAGATTCAGGGAAGGTTAATACAATTATACAATTTATTCGTATAACTAATTAATAAATAATTAAGTTATATAATAAGTTTATTTATATTAAATAAAATTAAAAAATTAAAAAATTATTTGTTCCATACATCCGAATATACTTAAATAGCATAAAATTATCGCTCGTGCACAGGTTTCTCTTGCGCAATGGCACTTTTGAAAGATTTCAAAGACAGCGACTCGAGTTCAAACCACGATATCAGACATTTTTTTTTTTGCATTTTTTTCCCACTTTTCACTCAACTTATCTGAGTTTTGTTTGTAGAAACATAATAACTGAGTTATTTCTGTATAGTTCCTGTGTATATGTATGGACCGTATTTCTTTTTTTTTTTTAGAAAAAAAACAACGTCTACAACGTCTACAGTGGAAGTGGAGCACGTTCTCGACGTATTAGTGTTATATTGAACAGGCGCACCAAGCGAAAAAATACGTACGTACGATTAAAACGATATGTCACGGTTGGTTTTTGAAGTTGTAGTTACCGTACGTTTGCATTTTATGCCTGTTCGCGCAATCAAAATAGACCAAAATACTCACACTGGCAGTGACATTACGCGTTATCGAATGCTATTGACTCTTATCGTGCGCGCGGTTGATAATCACAACACGATAATAATAATTGATTCTTTGAGCGCACAGTCGAGACACGTCGTCAGTCGTTTACCAAGTCGTCTAGGCAGTTACTGCGTGTTACGTGTGATCGCTCGCCGTACACCATCGTTGTTATTATTATTATTATTTAAAAATAGTAGTGTGGTGCTAAAATAGTAGTGTTTTATATTACCATCCTATTTTACCTTTCCACCTATTGTATTGTTAGCCTTTTGGCAAACAAACAATGCCTAAACGAAAGTCTACTATAGGACGTAGTACGGCAAATGCTAAAAGAGTACGCTTAGTACGTAGCAATGAAAATTCTGTTGAACGAAACAATAGACTTTTACAAAATCGTGAAAGAAATAAATATTTAAGAAATGTTAATGCATGGTTTAATAAAGAATACTCTGCAATGAATTACGATTTTACTATTGATTACAAAAATGATCCGATGGTTACATTAGGTGCAATGTCTATTGTTTGTCAATATTGTTTAGCTCTAAAATGGAAAGATGAATCTAAAAGAATGTTAAATGGATTTCTGTCTGTGTTCTTTATGCATTCCTAAATGGCTGAATTAATTGCGATGAAATTTGGACGAAGAGGTATATTAGACTTATGAGCAGACGATAGGCTAAGTTAAAAAGTGATAGACCAAACCTCGAGAGGTGCTCAAACAGACATTTTGAGATTTATGATAGAAATTGTTGTTTATAGATGGTTGCCATTAGTTTCAATAATAATAATAATTAGTACGAAAGAAATTATTATCCCTTAATTTGTTATTATTATTTTTTATTATTTGTTTCCATGGCACGTACGTCTGTGGCATTAAAAGTTTTTATTGCTATTTTGTGTTTTTTGTTCTTTGTTTTTATATCGGCTACGGAGTGTACGAGTTCAGCTAGTATCTATATATTAAAAATAGGATTACATTAGAGAAAACAACTTTTATTTAGAAAAATACAAAATAGACTGTCTGTTGAACAGGTTGGTTGTAAAACCTCCTCCTAATTTACGCCACTGGTTCTTACTCATATAGTTTCAAACTGTCAAAACTGACGTAAATATATATCTCGAAATTATATTTTTTTTCTACCAATTAGTTTAATTTTAAATATAAATTTTTTTTTTTTTTTGGGGGAAGGAGTTGCCGATTGAACCCAAAACCATACCTTTGGCTGCGGCCTTATTGACAGCAATCGCCCATTTACTATATGTATTGAATAAAATAAATTCTTTCATAAAATCTGCTCATTTGGCGTTCATGCAATTTTTCTAGTGACCTTGAAGGCATCCGTATACTCTTGCTGGCTCTGAAGATACGGGAAAACATTAAAGCAAGCAAAACGTTCAACAGAGTTCACACATAAGGGCACCTAGGATACATGTTTAGTATTGTTACCGGTTCTTTTCGATGTGACGATAATACACGAGTCATCCGAACAACAAGTACCCCGTTGCATACGACTACACGGCTACCTCACAAAATATTTACAACGTACCCTTACTGGAGTTTTTCGTCCCATGGCCGTCGTCGCGATCGTTCCACGCGAAACACTCGGCTATGGTCTTCAACGCTCCGGTGGCGCCCGACGTGAACACAACGCTGTACTTCTCGGGGTCCGTGTTGAAGTGTTTGAGGATCCTGCAACGGAAACGTGCGCTTTTTTTATGTTGTCATACACCAGAACGGGAACGCGACAGCCAGTGGCAGCTGTGTTCGATGTTGCCCCCGTGAATTTCATGCGATTCGCCAACGAGTACGGTATTTAAATCAGAGAAACGAACGACCGCGTGCATATGGTAGGATTTGTGTTTCAGTCGAATTAGACCGAAGACCCGATCGAATTGCTTTCAAGCGAACCTAGAAAAAATTTAGTTCGATGGATTTTATTGGATGGATGGTACTACTGGTCTTTTCATTGTGGCTTTCCGTAGTCAATAGTCAGATGAGTCGCACATGAGTCATTCAGATACGAATTAAAGATTTAATTTTTACTACCTTGATATTTTTACGGAGGATCTTGTTCATATGGTTCAAATCGGTTTCGTTTGTATTTTTTTCGAGAGTTTTCACTAAAACCTAAAGACGTTTCACTCTCTTTTTTATTTTTTATTTTTTGTTCTTTCATTATAACTTTTGAGTTTAACTTGAGTTTTATGAAAATTTAATCAGACGTTATTTCTATTTGTCATTCAGCATTAACATAATGAGAGGAAATGTATTGTATATCTTAGAAGTCTAGTTGATCAGGGATTCGCGTGTGCGTGACCTTGATAATTTTCTTAAATCACTAATACTCTTTTGATGTCAGCAAATATGTTTTACTTATATTTATTAATCACTACGCGTAAATTCGATTTGGATTTTGACAGAGTGAAACGTAGGGTATAATTTAAACATACGTTTTAATCGTCCAAGAACAAGTCGCGACTATCATTAAATTGGATACTATAATGCTTAATAGATAAAAACAAGTTTGAATATAAAAAACCATACGTTTTCGAAACAAACTTATTCGACGTATTCAAATAAATGTATTGAGATAAATCAGTTGTATGATATGAATGGATCCAGTATAATGTTAGATAAAATTATTATATTTTAATGAAAGATTGATGAAAAATACGAACATCTTTTACTAACTCAAATCAGTACAATAATTGTTGTATAATTGTATGTATATTTTTGCTATTTTTCATTTTAAAAAAATTATGTTTTATGTCGTTGACACCTAAATTATTAGAAAACTTACGCACAAAATATAATTAAATCAGATAACCATGAAAATTGTTGATGACTCTAATTTTGAAGTACCTAATCAATTAATTTTACTTTAGATGTTAATTGAAAAGATTTATCGTTTCCCAGATTAATTAACTATATCAAGTAAATATTGTTATATGCTTATTAGTGCTTAAAATAGAATGCTTACAGTAACTATTAATTAGGCTAAAAGTTACGGAAGCGATTAATCCTTTAACAAAGAGAAAATATTATTTTTTTTTTTTACTTTGATACGTTTGTGAAATAATTTATATACGATATTAATTTTAATAACAACTTTTAATTTAATAAAACCAATTATAACATCGTTGATATTACACCATAAGAACATATTTTATTATAATAATTATTTTGTATTATTAATTTAATTTAAAATTTGTTATTTTTTTAAAAAAAAAAAAATTGTTTTATTATTGATGACATGTAATATATTCGTAGTTTCATTATTACGCTCTGAATTTAAAATATACAACTATACAAATATTATGATAATTAAATAATTATATTGATAGGTGTTTGAAAAGTTTTGTTAACTATGCTGTTTTTATATTCCAATAGCTATTAATTTACTGAAATGTAAAAATAAACTGTAAATTGGTAAACAATTTGTATAAAATAATATATATTTATAGCAGTTATTTATCTTATTTATCTGTGCAACGAAAAAAAAAAAATAACGATTATTTTTTTTACCCCCTCCCCCCCAGAGCAAGATCGAATGTATGACACTGCACATATCTATCTGTTATTTTAATTTTGACGTAAAAATCTTTTTAAAAGAAATATTATTTTAAATAATATTAATATAAAGTCGAATAATGAGTTATTATTTATATTTGAACATTATTTATTAAACGTGTCAGTTACATTGTGAGATTATGTTCTCAATAACACTATTATATTATATATGGGTGTTTAGTGTTTATCGCAATATACTCTATTATCGTTACCTTTCATATTTTATCGAGTACTTACCATAAGTAGTATCGCTCGAATGTTCTATAATATTATGGTTTATGGATCATACTTTATGTTAAGTAGGGTAGATATAAGTAACTACGAAAACCGTGTACGAAACATGATGTTAGCTCAGCTCTTCGGTTGAATGTTAAATCTAGCGTTTTCGTTGTACACTTTTATTTCGAAACGTTTTGGATCTTGTATTATCGTTTTACTGAAAGTCAAACGGAATTTCGATTTACGTACTTGAATCGAATACTATTGATGAGTTCTCCGCAAGCTGACGAAGGTTTACCGGACGAATGTGGATTTCCATATAAGTGCGTTTTCAAATCCTTCATAACATTATTTATCTGACTGTCAGCATACAAAGCAGAACCCGCGTGATCCAAATAACAAACTCCTTAAAAAATATATTATTTAACATGAATATGGTTGGTAATAAATTTGTTTTTTTTTTTTAACTAAAAAATTATTTGTAAATAACTATAAGATAAAGAAATGTTCAACAAAACTTTAATTTAATGTTTATTTTAAGTTGTTACTTGTATTCGATCTAGAGTTTAGAATCTATATCGCATACAATTAACAGTTTCTAGACGACATATGTGTATATTTATAATTAGTTATCTATATATATATATATATATATATATATACCTGTATACATGGAAAGAGCCCAAAAAATAAGATAAAAATGTATTAATATGTACACAGTAAGCAACTAAAACTAAAAAAGAAGGTCATGATTGACAGTGCGTATTATTTGGATAGTTGAAGAGTTATATAGAAGTTATGACTGACGAACAAATAAGGTGAGAAGGGACTTGTCGCGTATTTGTGCGTGTCAACGTAGTGCCTAATTATTCTATGATTTTATGTTATGCAACTCATAAAGTATGAGTAATTGTAACATGGTGTTTTCAAAAACAGTGAATAAATGTAAGAAAGTATATTTACATTCGTCAATTGTTAAAAAAAAAATTATTACACTATTATAGCCACTATGGTAACAATGTCTATGTAAAAATTGATCAATAATTTTAACTGTTTCAACATTAATTTGGCCGATTGTTAAAAACGGGCTGTATATGCTACATCTGCAATTAAAGTCCGCGCACACCTATGATAATCAAGGTCACGAATAAATATATATTTTGTCAGTAGATCAGATTAAAACCAATATGGGAGGCGGGGTGCAAAATAATTTTACGTTCTTATGCATATTGATAAATAAATATGTAAGTAAGAATAAGAGAAAACATTTTTTTCTCACTTCGCTTAGACATTCATTTATTCGATTTCACATTTTTATTGAGTTTCAAACTGTATTGATGTACGATTCCAATTATATATTTTTGATTTACAATTAAATTAAAATTATGTTATAATAAAATCAATGTTTACATAACCTAAATGAATGTATTATAATATAGGCATCTGTTTACAAGTAAATATACGTAAATTAATATGATATTAATTATTATCTGTATAGCAGCGTTTTTTAAACTTTTTTATCAGTGTAACCCTTTTTGATGTACACATTTATCCTGGAACCCCTACTTTTTTTTTTTAGCTTTTTAGATTTTTTTTTTTATTTCTAAATGTATTATAATCATATACCTAATAATATTGTGTTAAAGGTCTTTAATTCAAAAAATATGTTTAAAATTAAAATTAAAACAATAATAATTGTATACATATATATATTATAATATTTTAATAATAATTACTTTAATTAGAATAAATATAAATTTAGACAATTCCATATTGCTTATACATTGTTATTTAATGAACAAAGATTTTTTTTCAGTTTTTCACCATTATTGATCTTAAGTTGGAAATTTTAAAATAATTTTATTAAAAATTTTTAAAAAATTACTTAAGCTTCGCGGAACCCTAAAGTGATCTTTGCGGAACCCCAGGGTTCCGCAGAACACAGTTTAAGAAACGCTGCTGTATAGTATATATTTTATTTTTATTTATTTATATTTATTTAAATTAATATCAAATGATTACTGGGCCTCACTGCGAAAAACTCGTGTGGAGGCCCAAATATAAACCTAATATGATGTACTATTTTAGAAAAAAACACAGTAGGATATATCATTATTTCATTATTGATAACTCTCAAATTATATGTTAAAACTCCTATATTCTTAATTTTTAAAACATAATATCAGTTCGCCCGGGACAAATGTCTATTTTGCCTCATCTTATTGCGCCCCTGCAGTAAATACGTCAATTGCATTATTAAGTATATTATTTATTAACGGACTGGTTATTTTATTTAGTGTGAGATAACCAATAGTAACAATTAGTTTTGCCGTTTATAATATAACCATTACATAATAAAATGACTAATAAATTGTTTCAAAGTTGCACGAATGGCGGTACAAAGGTGTAGATATTAACGGTCAACATAAATATCAAGAAGGTATCTGAGTGAACGTATATTTCATGAACTTCAAGAGCCCGAATTTGATGTCCACTATAAATATAGACTCAATTTGGGGGAGCTTATGTGTGCTTAGAATACCCAATTTCGAAGTTAGAACCAACTAATGTTTTCACGTTAATTTATTTTTAAATAGTCATCACTCATGTGTATTCAAAAGTGTAGTTTTTATGTATTGTACCTATATAAATTTATAATTTAAATAATAGTTGTGGAAGTTCGTTCTTCATCCTTTCGATTCTTGGATAAGATAATAGTAATGGTTGTACAGAGTTTTAATAAAATTATAACTCATTTCTTTAGTTTTTTAAAACGATTCTGAGAAAATTTCAGTTTAAAAATATACCGTTTATATATTTTACAATTTTTAGTCTAATTGTCAATAGATTCTTTTTTTATTAACCTGTTTAAAATTTTGTTGGACGAAGAAGAAATTTTTTTAACCAAATATTCAAAACATTTTGTTTTATCTATATCTAAAGTTTCATTCTGATTGGATTGACTAATTGTTTTTAGAAAATATTTGATGTAGAAAATGTTTGTGAAAACAGTAAATTCCGTAAAAATGGTATAATAATATACTTAAAAGTTTATAAAATAAAATCGTGGCTTAAGGTTTTTGGAAATTTTTCAGTATCGTTAGGTATAACTATAATTATACGAATAAGGTAATATTAAATGTTCAAGTCTAAATATCCCAAAATAAAAATTTAATTACATAAAAACTTTCATAAATAAGGCATTTTTAAAATTCTATACTTAAACCAAATGTACTTAATTTGTTTTTAAAATATTTTCAAATATAAAAAAAATGTCTTTGATATAAGGTAGAAGTTTCAAGTTTCTAGCAGCATTACTTTTAGAGTTATGACTAAATAACTAAAACCTGAAATGTGAAAATATTGTTTATAGAGCATGTTAACCGTCTTTATTAGTTTTTTTGGCAAATTTTCTTTGCGCATGGAAAAAAGATTGAGATTTTGAAAAAATTATCTCTTTAAAGTTTTAAACTTTAAGCCACCACATATTAATTTTTGAATCTTTAAAGAAGCTACTAGAGACTTCTAAGCCAATATTTCTATCCAAAAAAGTGTTTAAAAAAAGAAAAAAACATTGTTATAAAATTATAAGATCCTCCGTTTCACTTAGAATCTTAAAATAATCATGCGATATAACATTTGTAGGTATATGCAGACGGGTTATACGTGTAATTTAAATATAAAACCAAATTGAATAATTTAAACTAAGAAATATTTAAATATTAAAATATTTACTAAATATTCTAGTATTTTTTGAATTGTATGGTTTATGGATGTCTATAAGCCTTAAGGAACATGAAAAATGTAGAGTGGCTTCAGCACCCTCAATTTTTTCATTAAAATTGTGGCCCTGAGAAGTATAAAATATTTTATAATAATTTAGTTCAATAACTTATGGTTAATTAAAATACCTCGTATATTTTTCAAACAAAAAAACTAAAAAATTACAAGTTGCCTATCATAAGTTTGAGTAGAATTACGCTAAACGTTCATGAAAAATGGATGAAGTACTTACGTTCCCCGAGTCACTTTAGTATGAACACATATTTTCATATAATTTATAGTTGATGGAATATATAAACCTGTATATATACATTCATTTTGACTATTAATATTTTATTTTGAACGAACATAAATAATGAAAAAAAAAAATAACACTGAACAGCTTTGAAGGATAAAATATGATTATAATTAAGTTGGTATTATTATTTGGTAGGTATACATAATGCTTAATAACTTAACTACTAATACTGTTTTGAACAACTTTATGGTAAAAATATGTATAGTCAAGACTTCATTAATCGGTGTAAGAAAAAATAGCTATAAATATTTTGTATAAAAATAAAGTTTAAGGAAAAATTGATATTAAACTTACGAAAAGAATCTTTTAAAACGTTACTGAACTACGCGTAAATACAAAAAAGTTAAAAGCTTACTAAAGCACCAGACTAATTATAAAAATTATGTCTGTCACGTTAAAACGACTTACCTTTCAATCTATCAAACTCGTTTCTCATTAACTCGGAAGCTTCTATTTTCGAAAACATTTCTAGTTTTAAAATACAATACTAGCGGTTTGAATCGATTAGTGAATATACTACGAGTACGTATATACAAACCGCGCTAATTGTATACTAACGTTAACGAATTGCGGACATGTTTCAATAAAACAAATGGGATAGTAATAAACGACAGAAACCGACAGCTGCCGGATGCACTCGTCGTGGAGGAACTTGTAAGACTTTCGCTGCCCGTAATATTACGTAAAACACGTGGTCGCTATCACTGCAATTCGCTGCCGTCCGGAATGAACCGAAAAACCTGTATACCAGTAAGACTTCTTTTCTGTACCCACACCGACCGAACGACCGCGGTGTGCCACGAAGTATGAACGGCAGTCCGATGCGATTACGGAACAAATGAACAGTGGAACACGCGCTCGTGTGAAGACTGGATATCTTTTCTGGTTTTTTAAATTCGACGCAAGTTGGTTTAACGTTATATTTACAAAATTGTATAAATTTAAAAAATTGTCGTGTTTGACAGAAAAATACAATGCTGATTATTATATATGCGTGTATAAATTTTGTTAGGTTAGCCAAAGATTTTTTTTTAAATTTTTTCGTCTATGAAACCATCGTTTAAAAATCATTAAAACTGATGAAGAGCAAAAATATTTTATATTTTAAAACTATGTTCGGAAACTAAAATAGTTTGGATTTTGTTTCGAACTATTAGTCGCAAACAGAATTAAAAATATCGTATAATCAGTTCAAATTTATATGAGCACATACACATGTTAATTTAAATCCCGTTTGTTTTGCTCAAATAAAATATATCTAAATATTATAGATCATTATAGTTCATACGAAATCGTGATTCCAAAGTTAATTAATAAGTGCGTCATGGAAGTTCTTATATCGAATCAATGAAGTATCACAAATCGTTTTGATCTTAAATTTTCTTTTGAATAATAATTCAATTTTGATACAATGATCGAGGCTGATTATGATATTGATTACGGTCATTTAAATATTATATTTTATTTTATTTTCAGTAATTTAACAGATCATTTAATCATTAAAACGAGTAGTTGACGATAGAGTTACCAAAAACTATCGCGTCTGAGTAATTATTAAATTATAGTGAAGCGTTTCTCGTCGAATTTCGTGATAAAAATTTTTGATGAAAATTCAATATTGATTATTTTCGTTGCTATGGCCAACAGAAACGATTAAATTTTAATAACTAACATAATCGTGTGGGGCGCGAAGTACACATTATTATTCATTGTATGTTTTATATTTGATGAACCAATGACCATTATTTTGAACAATGAGTAATATTTTGACAGGAAATTTCTTTTAAAAGTATATTTTATTCATAATAATTATGTTCGTTGAATAAAATAAATACTTTTTTTTAACGATATTGAATTTTGTATAATAGTTATTAATCTCGTATTTCAATAAAAAAAAATATTTATCTTAAAGGTTTGAATTGAATTTAGTTGAAGTCGAAAAGTAAAACTGCCTTGCTTTATATAAAACACAAATTTATTTAAAATATATATATATATATATATATATATATGACAGTCACAAAATATTAGTTAAAAGTAATGTTTAGATTGTTTCCCGAAAAATCCTATATGCTTTAAGTAAATAACATTTACGGTTTTGATTTGGAATTTTACATTGTTCAGTAGCATAATCCTATGGTCGTGTTATAAAACCCAACTATTGTAAATAGTACGTTGATTACTTAGGGTGGCAAAACTGTAATGAACAAACTTGTACGGGAACCGATATCCGTCTTATAATTTATATATATACTCGTTTCGATTCCAGTAGGAGGCTCCATAAATTCAATGCTGAGAAAAATCCAAGGGAGGTCTCGATGTACGTTTGCGGTGAATTATACTGCACTTGAGTAAATATATTGATTACGATTTGTTTCAAACAATTTTTCTATCCATCTATAGTAGTAAATAAGAACGTACTATAATGCCTTTGAGATATTTCTTTATTGGATTGGAGGAGAATAATAATAATAATAATAATAATAATAGGATAAAATGATTACATTGGTTAAAACGTACAGTGGTAAAAATATTACAAAAATATCGCTAGTATAAGTATTATAAATTAATTATAAATACAATTTAAAAATAAAATTGTGAAAGTGCTGTATATTACCTTAATCTAAACAAATTCGACTATGTAAAGAAATAATACAACATAGTTTTTGGTATGAGTAATATTATAAATTTATTAATGTATAATATACTAAGTAGATAGTTTTAGTATTTGTTACAAAAAGGATGAAAACGCAATATGAACAAAAATTACATTTACAAAAGCAATAAGCTACTTTTAAAAGTCTACATTTATTGAGCAGTATTTTGCGAATAAGTTATCATTAATTATGGGTAAAACTCTAAGGACATATAATTGTGATTTTGATTATAATATATTTAAAAATCTACAGTTATTAATAAGAGTAATATATAATAGATGGCAATAATTACAATGACGAAAAACAATAAGAAAAAACCGTTATTTTTATTTTAATTTACGCTTACAAGTTCTAAAACGTTTGCAGACTCAAGAAAACCTTCCCTCTGTTTTCTTAAGTCTCTATGATCGCTTTAGATCCCTATAAACGGTTAAAAATAATGGTAAGTCCATATTATTTTTCTGTAATGTATTTATAAAGTTAAATACATGTGTTATATCCTATGACTAGTATTTTTATTATATATTAGTATTTATTTTTATGTAATATAAACTTACAATCTAAAGAATAAAAAATTACAATTATGTATAATTACATTTTATTAATTATTATGATCATTCTACATAAACGCATCAGCGTACTAAATTATATTATATCGTATTATTTAAATAAGAATTAAAATGTACATATTTTATAGTATACTCAAAAGAAATAAAAATGTCTATACATTGTTAATTGATGGATGATACGTCATATAAGTAAGTATAATAATTAATATTATAGTATATTATTTAATAAAAAAGTGTATTAATTGTACGAATATTTTAAAATTTCGTGAGTCTAAGAATCAATATATATTTTTATAAATAAATATATGTATTTGAATACATAAATATATTACTTATATTAATATAGAACTCATAGCGTAATAATAATTATATTATAAGTACGTTAAATTTAAAATATGTAAGTAATACAAATTCATGTTGTAAAATATTTTTGTTGTGTTAATAAACGCTCTCGGTTAGAATTCCGAGGGCCTACATCTAAGCATCGTGAGTTTCAAGTATTAAAATAGTTTGAAAAATATAGCACGCAAGTCATTTGCGGTTTTTCAATGTTTTTATTTATTTATTTATTTATTTTCCTAAACGAATAATTAAATGTACGCATTTGTTTGCTTGAAGATACATGTTGTATTTAGATTGAAAAAAGGTTAATAAATCAATAAACCAGTGGCCGTGGTCCCGAAAGCGATCAAGCTCATTTGCGGTATTAAAAAGAGAGAGAGAAAACAAAAAACATCATCAATCTCGTTGGAGAATAAAAACGGTGGTATTGCGAAGTTCCGACACCGCGGCGTGAAGCTGTACGCATTACGTAATAATGTGCGGTGATGTTCAGACGTCGTTTTGGATCTTTCGTGTTCACACGACGGGTTGTATGTCCACCACTACTGAAGTTTTTGGCTCCATCGGAAGTGCCATAGGACTTTTAGCCGTCGGAGACCTCACGGCTTCTGTGTTGGCACCGTTGTTGTTGCCGCGCACACCACGACCTGAACAATATTGGACAGGAAAAGAACAAACGATTATTTACCGTTCCGATACGCACGCACTACATTATTGATATCGATTTAATGATGATTATTGTACGATGAAGAGAATAAATAGTGTATCGATAATGATTCGAATCAAAATATTTAATCCGAGCGTCTAATAATAATAATAATAATAATAATAGTTGCCCGGATATCCGGTACTCTACGATAGAATTAACAAGTGTGCGTAATATAGGATTCATGCAACATACCTACCGTTTTTCATGCTATAAACTATTAACAGAACAGCGACAGATACGTGTGAAATAATCAAATAGTAAGACAAACAAGAGATTTTGAAATGTATTGCATTTGAATCGTGTAGACGCGTTGCGTTCACGTTCAAACCGAGTTTCAAGCGTTTTGAAAATAATCGTACGTAGATGGTATTATTTGGTATAACGTTTGTACCTGTTCTCGATACCGGTAAAATTGTTTAATTGTTAATCTCGTTTAGTTGAACCGATTAGTGATCCGTCGAGGAAGAAAAACAATTCAAAAGTTCAAAACTAGCGTAATGTAATATGAATTGTATTAAAATAATAATATTATATTGTTTTTCGCCTTTAAATTTTTTGATCATCAAGGAACTAAAATTTATGAATATGGATATACTCTACGCATTTTGTTTGAAATAAATTTTGTTTTTGACCAAGTACAATACAAAAAATGGAATATTTCAAAGGAAATATTATTGCAAGTAATTTCACGGGAACACTACGCCATCACCTTATACTAGTGTACTATTTTCGTTTATATTCGTCATCTCGTGTTTCATTTCCAGACTTCGAGCGCATACGACGATGTTATGTATAATATGGTTTGGAATTAATGAACCTTTTAAACACAGCAGTCGTATGGAAAAAAAAAAGCAATTTGTTTTGAGGGATTCAATGTTCGTGTTTCGAATGTAAAACCGTTTGTTTTACTAATAACCTCTAAGTGAATTTCCGCGGGTATATAATGTAGGCAGACGCTTCGAGTCAACACAATTAAAAACGCACTTTCGTCTGTCATACAGTACGCGTTTGCGTACCTACTCATAACGAAGTTATGAAACGCGAATACGCTGCCTGGAGTTGATAATGATAAAGCTCAGGACTAGGTTGAAATGTTACGAACAACGCTGCGAGGAAATGCAAACACAATAACTTATCCGCATGTACACATTGTACACAAATATAACGTTGGTACTGATGCAATTTAACAATATACGAGAACATTGGTAATATAAGTAAACGGACTAAACATAATACTACGTATAATACATCTCGTGGTATCAACGCGATATACCGTCGTCCGCGTTGCCTAACTATTTAAAACGGTTATCGGTGTAGATGCACGTATCGTTGAACGTAAGCACTGTTCATAGTAAATTACCGTTTACTAGTATTTATAATTACTGATCTTATTAATCGTAGGTGTAAATGTGCGCCTTTTAATGCAATATACAGTACTACAATATTACATCTCTAGATTACGGTGTACGAAAATCATTGCTTGAACGTGTGTTTCGTTTGAAAAAAAAAATTTTAAACTAAACACAACATATTATTAAAGCGCTGTTCAGGATTCGTCGGTCAATAAGTGCGTGCACGTCCGTCGTACGCTCTCTGCGTTCACTCAGTTACATGAATCACAAATATGTTTGTCGATGATGTATGTGAAATGGAGTACATGAGATTCGCTATAAAGTGTTCGGCATACCGCAGGAAGGTAAGAGTAAATACGATTCGCCAGTGACAATGTAATACCACAGATCAAATAAAACAAATAAATAAAATGTTTTATTTAATCTGTAGTAATACTTTATTATTATTTTTTTTTATCATTTTTATCTTCTACGTATATGTCCATTTCGCCGGGACCGCAGTTGATAAAATTACCAAAACCTACGGTTTACCGTTACATGCTGTATCAATCGATAATCACATACACATATACACACATAAGTGAAAAGAAATTTTTTTTTGAAACCTTACAATGACGTCGTTGTTTGTGATTAACATTTTTCGGTATCCGCAAGCAAAACACTATACATACTTCTTTGATTAAAATATCAAAAAACTTTTGCAACTCATGTGTTACATTTTTTTCCGTAAGTCGACGCCGCTTACATTTTTCATTAAAATCTTAAAAATCCGAACTTCACAAACCCCGAATATCGTACTTTCTCTCCACACAACACTCATTCGTTCAATATTACAATAAAGTACTCACTGCATTTAAGTTTCAACGTTTCTCGGTCACAGTTAAGCATATGCCATTTTGCAATATATTTGCAAACATATGAAAATATCCGCTGATACTATCAAACAGTCACCAGTCGATTAATATCGCACGGCTTTCATTTAATAACCGTAATAAAGGTCTTGATAGTATTGTTCTTGTCATATGGATACACATCAAACAGGCGATTCGGCAAGGCGTTGATATTAATTTTTCGACTAGCGTGTTTGGTATGCTTATTGAAAATGTAAGGATAGTCGTAAACATCAGTTAACAATACAAATAATATTTTATCACGTTAATATTTTATGAATAAAATAGTTGTAAATTATGATGTTCGAGGTACAAATGGGTAATATGTATGTATGTACGCAGCGGTGCGAATTACTCATTATAGTGCCCAAGAAGTCCATCGTAATAGTTTCTCATAATTTATTTCGTATGTATATACATTAACATAAATATATATATTATATGTATTCGTTTACAACAATAATGTGTTGTAATATCCTTCTGAGATTCGTAGAAGTATATTTAATTTTGATTTTAATTAAACACGTTAGGTATTACACTACATTATTCATTCAGTGTTATTGTGAATGAAACGAATGATTATGATGTGCATTGTGTACAAACGTTATTTCAAACATAGCAAATCCAAAATGTCATCATATAAGGTAACGTATCCACCCGCGAAAACAAAATATATCACGCAATGCATGTCTGAGCCAATCATGGAAGGGTTTATAAATTTGCGAACAATGTATATCTCATCGCCTTCGAACAAAACTTTTTAAGCTAATCTCGGCTGTACATATAATAATATATTAATTTTGAATGTACGAGGTTAAAAGTTATCATAAAACAATTCATTTATTAGAAATTCGAAGTATTTTAGAAGTTATTTATTTAGTATTCAATTTTATAATCAGAAAAACGTTAATTATTGTTATTATGAGTTACGTTCAGAATCCGGAAAAGTTAATAAAATAAGTCTTGTTCAAGACACAAAATGACTATCAAAAAAGTGCTTGTGTGTATGTGTACGAGACGGAGAGAAAGAAAGAGAGAGAAAAAGAGAGATTGTATGGTGTGTGTGTATGCGTAAGGCGTGGGTTTGCAATATCCACGGAGTAGACGAAGAAGCTGTATATAGATAGAGATAGAGGTTTCTAACCTAAAGAAGGCGATTGGGGCTTCAACGAGGCCATGCTTGGTTGTCTCGAAGGGGAATGGGTCTTTGTACTGGATTTGCTACCTCTACGTTCGCTGGTTGCTCCGGGCGGCGGCTTGTTGTCCCTCAGCAATGACACGTTCATCAATCTTGGGTTGGGCGTGTTGAATATCGTACGGTTTTCCCTCCAACGTGCCCTGTGAACCAACAATGATTATGTTAGTTGCTTCTCCTAGCCAACAGTTATATTATTCCTCAACCATACGATTTATTTGGTGGACAAGAATTACTTTGATCCCTAAACTAACCTAACCTAATCTGGAGGACCTGTGGCGTATTTGGAATAATTTTTTAAAGTGAATGAAGGTGCAAAATATGTAAATTTGATTTCGAAATATTAACGTCAAATTATTCACCATTCTACTCAAACAACTGAATTAACTATAAACTATAAATTTTGATAAAAATAAACAATTTGCACAGAATATTGATTATTGAATATAACTATAGATTTTTCTTTATTATCTACAGATATGATTATAATATAGAATGTGATATTGATGTTAGAAATAGTTTTAATTATAATTAAAAATTGGGTACCGTATTTGGGGGGGGGGGGGAACGCATGACAAGCGAGTAGTCATAAAAATGGAATTTAACATATAACCACAACTTCCGTATAACAGTAAAAACAAAAAAAAAAAACCTCAGGAAGGAAAAATTCCACAATGCACCTCCACACCAATATGCTATTACGGGGAACCAATTAGGACGCGCCTTTCCCGCCGAAACAAATCACGGTGGTTTGTTATTCGTGTTTCATCAAATTGCGAATATGGCGTATTTAGGCACCGGAAGCAATGAAATATATCGTGTGTCGCGAAATGTGATATTTTTTACTACGTAAAATACTATAATCTGCTTGATACATGATACGAATAGACTGATGAGCCGTCTAAACCGGTTTAAATTGGTTTGTTCAATTTCAGAATGTTTAATCGTTATAGATCGTACAATTTACATGTCCGTTAAAAATAAAATTTTTCCACTCTATTAGACAATCAGTTATCAATTATATGTTTATATTTTTCATTATAATTTTATTTTTTACACGATCATTTATCATTACTGTTATTATGTCATATCAATGAGTAGTGATATTAAACAATTAAACATTTGGAGTTGAATGCGTTATTAGGCTTTAATGTTTTTGAAGATGATGCATAGAGACCGATTAAATAAAAAATGTCATCTTAATAGATTTTATCCGTTTTCTCTTATGCCGATAGTATATTGTTGTGGGTTATTGAAAACGTTTAAATGTCATAAAACGAATTTATATGAATTTACATTTTTTTATCAGCTAAAAATGTGATTTATTTTTCAATAAATTTAAATTTAGATCCGTGAACTGCTTAAACATATGATGAGCTTTTCAAACAAGTGTGGTGTGGAAAACCATTTTAGTTTGAAATCATAATACGATCAAGTTTTACTATATATTAATCAGTATTTACTGTGCATACGAGTATATTGTAGACTACGGTTGATATCAAAGTTTAACCTTTTGATTATCGAAGCAGTCAAGTAGATATTCAATTTCATTTTTAAACTTTAAAAAAAAAGTTAAATTTTCCTATTACAAATTCTAATTTGGTAAATATTTCTCCTAAGGAATTAAAACCAATTTCATTTATTTGTAATTATTGAGATTTTATCTTAAACCAAATTATATAGATAAAATAAAGATTAAATAGAAATACCCAAGTTCTAAGAACAAGTTATATGGTCAGAAAGATAACAGAGAGGATTGTGAATAAAATAAATATTTTAAATATTTAAGATTAATCAATCGTAACAGAATGGGAATACAAAGAGCTGATATTTGATATGAAAATTACGTACCGTTAAAATTGCACGGTTAAGGTCGCATTATTCTATTTCATTGATGTCGGAAAAATAATATTATAAAATGTAATTTACAAAGAAGATGAAAGTTGGATATATAGATAATTGTATTATGTCTGGAATGGTCAAGAAACTCTTCAAAAATAGTCGGAAACTTTAAGAGAATTATTTATGCATATTTCATTTTATTATATTTTATATAAAATTATATAAATATAAATATGTTTAATACTATTTTACATTATTTAAGTTTGTATAATGAATATGCACTAATATTTTGAATTCCATATTTTCAAGTCTTATATTTTATACTTGTGTCTGGTTGAAAGAATATTTTAAGTTTAGCCTACAAGCATTAAACAAAGTATACACACTTACAATGTTTGTAAATTGTGGATACTTTTTGAATGGTTTTTAGCTAATTTATAACTACCAACTTCATTAATGACTGAAACAATTTGATGATGATAATATATATTTGTATGTATATGCAGCTAAATAAGCAAAAGTATTATTTATTATACGTAATTTAAATAATTATTTGAAAGCAATGGTCAAAATATTTACTTAAAAGTATTAAAATAATTAATGATAATAATAAATATCTTATTATTAATGAAATATCTTATGTTTATATTTTAAATATATACTCATTGTATACAATATTTTATAATAATGTTTCTAGTTTTAACCGATTATTAATTATCTCACGATGAAAAAGAAACGTTTGTTTGAAGTTTATAGTTTGCGAATTAATTTCTAATTCACCATCGTACATAATTTATATGCACGATAGAGGGGGAGAAATTAAATTAATTAAAACGTAAAATTACCGCTGTAAATATATAAATTTCTTACTTGCTAAACAATCTCAGCACTACGCATATAATAATAAACATTAAGCACATTCCAGCTAACACGCACAGCATAGCTGGATCGGTGTACGGTTCGGAGTTAGAGTTGTTCTTTGCTGAAAAAAAAAAAGTAGAATTACATAAAGTTATAAATAATAATAAAATACAGGAAAAAGGAACGAGTTGTATACATTTTGTAACGATGCGGTGTACAATCGAATTAAACTTATGTAAACGCGAACGTTTTACCCCGTCAAATCGGATATAGATCACGAAACGATTTTCACATAGACACGAGTGAGTTTTTTGTTTTACAGTTTTACGATTGCGTTATCATAGTATATGATCATAGTATAACCGGCTTTGGAAAACATCGTGCATGCACAATAAGTGCAGATGGGGGGAACATTATATTGTAAGAGTTAAATTCGACTTTTTTTTGTTACGGCAACGGGTGCAATGTTACTTTCGTATTACTATAATATGCGATGACTAATGTTGTAAATAACTAGTGTTGAGTTCAGGTCAATTACTTTTTTATCCAGATAAAAGTATTACAGCAAAAATCTAATTAAATAAAAATAAAATTAACCTCAACAAAAATTATCTTTATAAAAGATAAAAGATAACCATAATTCATTTAGATAAAAAGCAGATTACTTAAAAAAAAAAAAAACAAAGATCTTATATAAACTTGTCAAAAGAAAAATAAAAATAAAATTATCAGGCGTATCACGAATATAATATTTTATATTTGTTTGAAGCGTTTAGAATGTGTCTTGATTTTAAAGTGTTTTATTCGTTTAGAATAAAAAAGTTAAGGTGTATGACCGTAGTCGGTAAATGTTGTATGTGTACCAGTCACCTAGTGAGGGGAATAATCGAATGATTTCATCGATAAAATGATTAGTAATCGAAAACAAAATAATCTATTGATTAGTAAACGAAATCAAAATAATCGAATGATTTATGATTTAACTGCTTGAACTGGTTGTGCAAATGATAAAATGATTATCTATAAGCGTGAAAGTGAAATGCATTTTCAATCCAATATTTATACGTATTAAACCAATAATTATTAGTGTAGCGATTACCGACACCGGGAATTATACCAATGATTAAAAATAAGATAAATAATAATACAATACTGAAGGACTTCTTAAATTAGTACCCAATGGGCAATGAGTAAAACACATAATTTTTTCGAATAATTCAATTCATTTTCTTTTGATAAATATGTTTGGTACCATTATTAGGATTATTAAAATCATTCGATTACTTTGATAGTCGAAAAATAATAATTGAGTTATTCGATTATTTGAAATAATCAAATCTTTCGATTATTCCATTAGATTATTCCCATCACTACAGTGAATAGTGTACGTCTACATACACCAAAAATTGTAGTGAATGTTGCCTAAATAACCTTTTTGTGGTCATACACTTGTGATTGCGGACATTTACAAATAGTGTTCGGCAAATGTTGACCACACTTAAAGGGCGATATATATTATAAAATATTTTCGATACTAGTGAGATTATTGCTATATCACAATGTTTGTGAACTTGTTATTTTTTTAAATCCGTGTATGAGACGTATGATCGGCTATTATTATTGTTATCGCTCGAGATAATAATCTCAATATGTGACTCAATATTAATTTTTTTTTACTTAAAAATGGAAAATATGAAAGAAACTTTTTATAAAAATTGTATTCATTTTTAAACCAAAAAAGGGAAAATAATTGTTTTTAAGTACCGAAAACTTCTATAAATATATAAGTGATGTAATTAGTGCTAGAGAAAAAAAATAAACAGCGAACTGATTTAAGGAGGTTAAATCGGTTTGCCGTTATTATATAGTGGATAGTCATAAATCAATCGTTCCATTAAAGGTAGGTAAAACGAAAATGATTTATTATGTAAAAAATGAGTATATATTTGAAATTGAGTGAAAAGAAGCTCATATAAAAACTGGTCATGGAGGGTGAATCAGAATTTAGTATGAATTATAGAACAAGCTAAAAAATATTACATATGGAGTCGTTATGTTATTTTTAAGTTTAATGGTGTTCCGTGCCAGTCCAAACAAAAATATTAACAAAAAAATGTAACACAAAAATGTGTAGCTCTAAGAATGAGGGTATACTTTGTAACAGTAAATTCCACGATAGCTTACTGTATTAAAATAAATAAATTATAATTATATTTATAATATATAATTATATATTATAAATATTGTATTATAATATAAATATTATATTATATTGTATCTTTTATTAATTAATATTTGTAAAATTATTATGATTTCATGATTTTTATTCATATGTCCAAATTCACCAAATGACTAATGCGCATGTAAACAATCACCAGTAAATTTCCACAAAGTTAAATATTTGTAAGAATAGACAACATTCACCAAAATGAGTGGTAAAAGTTGATATACACTATTGACTGTCAAAATTCACAGCTAAGCGGTCATACACCTTAACATATATTTATTTTTTAATCTTATTTAAGCGCTGAAATTTTTTGTGATAAGACCGATCGTGCTCGAAAAGCACTAGCAAATGGTTATTAGTAGTGGATGGGCAATAGTTTAGCACGTCATCATACTTTAAAATTTACTGATGTAAAATAAATTGAAAATAAAACTGTTCGGCGTAGATCAAACGATTTATTTTCAATAAGATTTTAATATTTTTTACAAAGAAATAGTAGTTGATGACAACGACGATTGTTAATTGTTATGTGTTAACTAAAAAACTATTATTGTCGTTATTATGTATGGTTAGGATAATTATATCTAGCGCATAATTATATCTACATCTGGTTCATACTTATTCGGGTATAAATATTCGTCAAAATTTGGGAAAACGTCTGAGTACTTTATCAATTGTATTAGTTTTAACTACGAAATTCTATTATTGAATATTTTCGTTGCAGCCACGCAGATGATGTGAGGCAAAATCTCCAAAGCACTTAAAATATTAATTAAATATTATAGAAAAAATAAAATATACATATATTTAGAAAAACAAACAGTAGATAATTAAAGTGTTCTTCCAAGATAGATAAACATGTAAAATTTATTTCTATTCTATTTCTATCTATTTTATTATTTCTATTCTTACATAAAATAATGGTTAATATTTTTATCTAGATAAGTCTCAACATTGGAAATAACGGTCCCGATAACGCCTTTGACGATGGTTCCAACGTTGTAAAAATTAAATGAATACCATTTATGTATACTCACCGATACACTCGACTGTTCCGTCCTTATGAAATACCGGAGTCCTCTCGAATCTGCAAGCACAAACATCGCCTATGCACTCCGTCTGGAATACGAGAACTTCACATTGCTCGTTGAAAAAACACGGCTCGTTTATCGCTGCGACTGAAACATTTGAATGTCGCCTTGTACAGTACTCTCTCTATGTACCCTTTTTTTACGCATAAAATATAGTAGTGTTTTACTTCTCCATACTTATAATAAACTGTTATACGAATGAAATTTTTTTTTCCACCCGACTTACAATGTTTTTAATGTTTCATTTATTGTTAGTACGTCGTTAAACCAAAAATAATACACATAGCGCAGTTATTAATGCAGAAATAGTGACAGATGGTAAGCCTTAGCAAAAGAAGTTTAATTAGAATATTGTAGTTGAAATTGTAATGAACACTGTTGTTTACCGGTAGTTAATTTTAAATTTCATTTTGTTGCACATACTATATACGCGTTCAGTGTTCGGTATAGGTACATATGGAAATTTAGAATATACTTTGTCATACGATTTCTGAAAACTAAACCATTTGTTCAACCAGAATGAACCGCTTATTTAACACATATGTTATTAATTTATGTTGTTTTGGTGTAAAGTTAATTATAATATGTAAGGCGTTCATTTATTCACTCGAATTTTAAGGTATCAGTTCGTTAATTTTAAATAATTAAAAACTAATTTTAATAGTTTTATTAGTTTATTAGTTTTAATAATTCAATAAGATCATATTTTACCAATTTTATCGAACGTAAAACCAGAATCGTAACATTTTTATTATATGATTGTATATATTTTGGCATTCGAGATCTGTAAAATCGATAAAAATTAACGTGGAAAAGTATCTCGTACTGATTTAAAACAACACTATTAGGTATATTTAATTACATTACATCAATGTTCGAGTTATTACATTCATTTCGTGTGTAAAATGCATCAATAAAATGTTTTTCAGTATTTCTCTCACCGCCTTTCAGCATGTGTGTACGTGTTGCATTAAAAACGAAATATTCATCAATATTACGAACGAAGACAAATATTGAGAAGGTATTCAGTTTATATTGTATTTTGTCTACAATTGTATGAGTACAATAATCACGGTTTTTATTGACAAGTTATTAAGCTACATGGCTGAATAATCTAAATACACACACATACTCACACTCCTTGTGATAGAATATTATTTTTATTAGTTTTTTTTATTCAAAATTAATCAATTTGCTTGTTCGAAACCAGCTCTGTTATCGTATATCTTGCAATGACTAGCACCGAATACTCGGTCTTGAAACGACGTACGGTTAAACTTCTTTTGCGATTATAGTATTATATATATTAATTTGTCGTCTCATTATTCTAGTATTGACGAAATAAAATGTGGTAAGTAGTATTCTTTCAAATTCTTTCTATTCTGTCCGTTGCAGAAATATAGCAGTTTGTCCAAACTTAGTTTTACCGAAGTCAATATTTTCATCTACATTTTTAAATATATTTTTCCCCTAGATAAATTTATTTGAACTGTGATTTTTGTTTCAAATAGTCTTGTCGTTTGTTTGTTTGATATTTAAACTAGTTAAATAAATAATTCAATTCCCCTTTTTTTTCTAATAACTAGAGCTCGGATGTTTATGACTTGGCATATTTTTTTCACGTAACCAAAATTATATCCTAATATGATATAAATTCGATTCATGAAATCTTAATTGCAAATATGCAAACTTATTTTGCATATTTGACATTTTAATCATATAAATGCATATATCGATTGTTTCTAGATTAGGTATATTTTATAAATTATAAGTATAATATTAAAAATTGTTCATATTATGTCATTTTCAGTCTACAAAAACTTTTTGTTGGATCGTCGAAGGTCCTTCGAATTTGAAAGTATCAATAAAATTATTATTGTACAGTGTAATTCTGATAATTAAAGTACTTAACCTATGAAAAATTTAACTTTAATAGATCGAAAATAAATTCATATTTTTTTCCATATATATTAGCTGTGTTTTTTGTAATAAAGTAATTTTAAATACACATTCAAAGGAGTATAGACGTCTTTCGAATTAATATTAACTATTTTTTTGCATATATTTATTGAAAAATAAGTATATTTTATACATTTTATGGTATATAATTGCATACTTTGACATTTTATAATGCATATTTTCATGAAATTTTGGTCATTAACATCTGAGCTCTACTTAACCCATTAATTATTGAATTTCTTATTGGCTGAACTCATTGAAGTATCTCCAGAATCATAGTTGCCGTTTTTCATCGAATTATTATGTACTCTTTTTCTCGTTCTTCAAAATTCTGTAACTGTATTTATTTGTTAACATTTTTATACCATGTTATAATGGCTTTATTTTATTTTTTATTACTAGTGCAACGGCCTGTGTTTGCTTGTTGAGTTTTTCATATCACGAAAAACGCTGTTAAAAATACATCATACTAAAATATAATTTATGCAGATTAAGGTATTATTTTTACTGTTTACAGTTTTTTCTTTAATAAATTTTTTATTTTTTTACTATCTATTTTCATTATTATGATACGTAAAAAGCCTTTAGGTCAGTTACGTACAAATTGGATTATTATAGAGAGGGAATACTAAAACAAAACTAAGTATTTTTCACCTTAAATAACAATAAATCTTCTTTATAAGTGTTTGAAATTTAACGTTTTCTTTTGCTGTAAGCTTTTTTGTTATTTTTTATTTAAAATCTTATTTTTATCTACCTCAAAAACAATCGTAAACTACGGCATTAGGTCATTTTAAATTGATATATAATATAATATAGTAGTTTCCATCATAATCAAATACGACGACCACTGATCAAATAATTAATGACAAAAATTATACATAGGTTTTAATAATTATAACTTGTATAATAGATATGTATCACTTAATGTATAATATGTTAAACGTTGTGTATTGTACAATCAAAATGACCTATTTTATATTAATATTTTAATAATTATTGACAAAAATTGTACATCATTATTTTATTATTTTAAATTTATTATATAAATTTTTGTTTTAGTCAAAAAGTGAATCGGCCGAAAAAGGAAGGGTACGATTTTGGTCGAAAATGAACTCGCCCCTGTGCATAGCTCTTTCCATCACCTCCAAATTCCAAATTTTGCAGAGGCTGAGGATCACCAATTGTGGTTACGGTTCATTCAAAAAATAATTGAAAAAATTATCGACGATCTGAGTTTTATTGAAAATTTATTAATCTCGGACGATGAAGCACATTTTATTTTCAGAAATTTACATTTACCGATGGACAACATTTTACGAACATGTTGTGTTTCACCTTTGGACTCATCAGATTTGTTTATTTGTTATATTTATTACATGGATTTGTAATTTTATTTAATTTAATTACGGTGGTCAAATAAGCCAGCACAGTACATTATCTACTGCACACTATGCATTGACTTGCTTTGTAGGTGTTACCACGAAGAGCTATCCGATAAACACATCGAGATAATTATCCAAGTAATAATATTAATGAATTTTTTTAGACAATATTTATTTATTCCCTACTTAGATAACATAATAATAATAATAATAATAATAATAATAATAAGTGATAGATTCCCTGATGGACATTTAAAATAATTTTTATTATTTGATTAACACCCTAAAAAAATGGTAAAAGTATTTAAGAGTTCATTGAAGTAGTTAAATCCATAAATCACTTAAACCTTTTTTTAATAATTTTGAAGAAAAAACAAAAATTTAGTATGAAATATGGTAAAGAAAACCATGTGATCCAAGTAAACAAATATTCACTAAAAGAATCTAAATATTATCCTGTTGTAAATAAAGCTTTGAAAATTGTCTTTAAATTACCAGCAACTTTGTGTTCAATCGAAAGAACTTTAAGGTACCTATCATTAATAATAACAAAATACATTTTTGAATAATTTATGATAATTATTCCACTTTGAATATAATTAATTGTATTCAAGATTATTTTAATTATCAATATATACTATCTGTTTAAAGTGTTGTATCAAAACATAGGTATGATCTATAATGAGTAGTGTGAGGTTAAGCATTTTCATTTTTATTCGCACACACAAAGCTAGATAAGAAAATTTAATATTTTTTGAAAAATAAAATACCCATGTTATTAATCATTTTGAACTAAACGCCAGACGTTTATCATTCTTATTTGATTCATAACTCATTCATTATAATTAAAAATATGTTTAAGACTGTATTATAATTTGTAGTATTATTATAATACTATTATACGGTATTACAGCTTTTTTTTTGCATTAAATTTGGTGTTACCAAGTATGATTATTATTTGAACATAATGATGTGACTATGTAAATGTATATCATACTTTTGATTTTTCATTCACTGAGCTAATTTTCTGAGGGTACTCTTGCCGTTCACGTATTATTGATATATTATAATGTAATGGACACGCGCGTGACGGTAGTTCTCCCAGTAAAAATCCAATACGGGGGTGGGACAGTCGGCGTGTTCGTATTCGAATGATCGACGTTGTGTACACGCACGCGATCAATGAAACATTTATGTATGAACTTATTATTATTCAGCGGTATCGTGGCTTTACAAGAATTAGGGCTAAGATAGTGGGAGGAGGGGTGTTCGACCCCTCTCCCGAAATTTGGAAATTTAAAAGAATTTAGAAAATTAGAAAAAAAATTTTAATATTTTTATACAATTTAAGTTCAACATTATAAATATTTACCAGTGTGATTTATTTAATCCACTATTTAAACACGAATAAGGAACCGAACAATAATATTAGAAGTAAGATGGCCGTCAGGTACGTCCCTAGTTGATGTTATAGAATACATATAGAGTCATAAATGTATATATATATATATTTATATATTGTCAAATGTTCTTATTTTGTTTGAAATTTTACCAAAAGTTATTAGTACAAATTGCATTGTATTATTTCTTACTTTGCCGTCTTTTCCGAAATATACAACCAACGTTTAACACTGTTAACGAACGTGCGGCGTCATTAAATAATTATTTATTTATGTATAACGAGCATTATACTGGGCCATTTTCACAGTCGTTTTTGCCTTGCTTTCCTATGGGTATTGTTAT